AGTAGGGCCCCATAAATCCTAAAGACGGCCCTGGCCTCCTAGAGCAGCCTCCGCCTCCGTGTGGTGCCTCGTGGTGAGGAAAGGTGGCGCAGGGCTAGAGGGGCCTTCCAGAGCTGGGGAAGGGCCGGTGCATCCCGGCGGAGCGTTTCACCCCCCTCTCCTGTCTCTCCGCAGCTGGGGAGAGGAGTGGGGCAATAAAGGTTATATCCTGATGGCCCGGAACATGAACAACGCCTGTGGCATCGCCAACCTGGCCAGCTTCCCCAAGATGTGAGCCCGCCGTCCCGAGCGCTGTTCCACGGAAGTGGCTGGATTCCTGAGCTGGCATCGTGGAGTATCGGCCTCTCTGGCTGCGGCACGGGCTCCGCGGCCGCGGCTGGCTCCTACTTGGCTCCTGTGCTGTTTCGTGCTTGCAGTTTTTTCTACTCTGCCCTCCTCCCCTTTCGACTGGCAGACTCAGACGCAGGATCGTCCTTGTTCTAGGAAACTTCCCCTATATCTCTACCTCCCCCCAAATAGAGGCACCTCCCTCCCCCGGGTGAAAGTCGATGACTGTGGATAACACATACAATGAATTGTCGTCCTATGTGCGGGAGGGGTAGGAATTAAAATGCTCACCCTGCAGCTCAGGAGCAGGCCTCTCCAGAACAGTAGCCAGCACGTGTCCTAAACTCTGGATCTGCCCTGCGGCATCCCTTCTTTGCATGCACCAGCCCGTGTAATGCATGCCCTGCTGCTGAGCTCTGTCCTGACCAGACAGACACACAGCTCTGAGGGATTGTGTAGCCCAGATTCTGAAACCTTGGGATGCAGCAGCAAAGTGTGTGTGTGTGGGGGGGGGGATTGCCTGGATTTCACCTCCTGGTGAGGTTCTGCATGTGGCTTCATGTTCCCCTGGCCTGTCTGTCCTCTGTTGGCTCTCTGGGGATGAAAGGGGAAGGTGCTTTGCCTGTCTTCTGGCATTTATGGCCACAGCAGTGCACACTCCACATCCCGTTCACTCTTGCAGCCAATGTTCCCTTTAATTTTTCCATTCGTGTGCAGAATAAACTTTGTTCTGTGCACCGAGGCATGCGTGGATGTGCACCACCAGTAGAAACACCTGCTGCCAGCCGTGGGTGCTCTGCTAATCCGCTGGGCGGCGTCTGAATCTCTTCTGGGTGGCTGCCCAAGTGCTCTGCTTACAGGGAACCCTGCTTTGCAGCCCTCCCCCAGTGTTGACAGGTTCTGGTGAGACTGACATGACTTTGTTTTTAAATAAATCCAGTTGGGAATGACCCGGAACTTGTGTGGCGGTTTGTGCTGTATCCAATACCACTTGCTAGTGCAGCCCTCTCGGCGTGGTGTCCGGTTGGGCGGGGTGAGGTGTCTGCCTGCCCTGTTGCTAAACCTCAGGCCTGAGTCGCTTGGGCCTTTCATTGGAGGATTTCAATGCTCTTTGAAAACATTACAAACTGCTCTTAGCCCCTGCTGCCAGATAAGGTGGCTAACAAAATGGAATATTTCTCTGAGTCTCCATCTGCTCCCTGAGGAAAGTTTTGGGTTTTTTTTCCATTAAAAACCTCAATGCCTGAAAGTGGGAAAAATATAGATTCTGAACCCTGCAGCAGAGCCTCATGGGACTTATAGTCCAGCTGCCTCATGTGCCCATTCTCTTCTATGCAGCAGGCTCCTTTGCTGGACTTCATCTCCCATGATGCACCATGGCCATGGGATTCCTATGATGCCCTGCCTCACCACTCCAAGAGGGGAGACTGATGCATCATGGGATATGTAGTCTGAGCAGGAAGTCGGCATATAAAGGGGAGAATGGGGGCAGGAGATCCCATGAGGCTCCAGGGAAGCACTTCGGAATTTTTTTAAATGAAATTTTCCATTTCAACGAGGGAAGCCATTTTCTGACCAGCCCTACCGGGTAAACCAGTATCCCAGTCACGTCGGATTCAGATGCGATCGCATCGGACAGACCTGCAGGAGCGCCGGGGAGGACCACGGGGTCAGTCTGCAGCCGGCAGCCTCAGTAACAAGTCCCAGCGTGCTCATGACGAGCCGATCTCTTCTCCGTGGGACACCACCCCCGGGGGCTCGCTTCACCCATTGGTGCAATGCAGGTGCCTGTGGGGTGACCCTTAGACGTGTCCAAGGGCTGATCACAAGGCAGGAAGGCTAGGGCTGTAGCAAAAAGGTTTGTTCACAGAGCCAACTGCAGGCCAGGGTGGCACTTCTGAGAGAGGCCTGGGGCAATAGAGGGAGGGAGGATCGGGCCAATGACTCCCATGCCACCCCTTCCCCTAGCCCTTTTCCCGTCGGTTGTAAGCAAGCAAGACCTTGCTCATTCTTCCGCTCTGCGCTGCACTGATACGGCCTCCGCTGGTGTCGGGTGCGCAGTGCAGGGCCCCACGGGAAAGATGGGGACAAATGGGAGGAAGTTCAGAGGGGACTGAAACTTAATCAAAACTGATTAAAGCACAAGAGCACCTGACTTTCCAGGAAAGGTTTTTTTTGGGGAAAAAAAAAGGTTTCTTTGGTGTGGAGTTAGGGATGCCAAAGTTTAACTGGTTAATCATAAGTCGACGCTCATCAGTTTCTATTACGGGCTAAAATCTGCCCTCTTGGGGAACCGGCTGATCCTACGCTCTGGAATCTGCAGGCAAAGTGCCAGCTCCTGGGGCCAGTGTCCTGGGAGTGGAGCTGGTGCCTTGGCAGAACCCACAGCATGGGGCATAACGGGAACCAGGTTCTACTGCAGCGCCCGCAACACGGGGCAGCCGACTTCCTGGGGGCGGGGCTTGCAGCTGGGAGCCACAGCGTGCCAGGAACCTCAGCAAGGGGCAGCCGGCTTCTTGGGAGCCATGGGAGCACCCCTCCACCATCCTTCCCTCCCTAGTCCCACCAGCCAGACATCGAAAGCTGTTATGAGGAGGGGGGTGAAAATCTCTTCTCGTTAACCTCTGAGGATGGGACAAGAAGCAATGGGCTTAAACTGCAGCTAGGATGGTTTAGGTTGGACATTAGGAAAAACACCCTGCTTGTCCGGCTGGTTAAACACTGGGATAAATTGCCTAGGGAGGCTGTGGAAGGTCTGGAACTGGAAATGTGTAAGAACTGGTTGGACAAACCCATTAGGGATGCTCGAGGTTTTACACAGTCCTGCCTAGCAGGAGCCTGGACCAGATGACCGAGCGAGGTCTCTTCCAGTCGCCCACATCTATAATTCTATCATGGCTGCAGGAAGCTGCGCTGGCAGGAGGAAGCAATGATCGGATCCAGTGAGCTGAGCTTGGCTTGTGGGTTCTGCTTGGTTCCTCTTTCTGGCGGGGTGTGGGGCAGCTGTGTGTATTTCTGCACTTCACATGAAACCAGGCGGAGAGTGGAAGGGGAGGGGTGTGGAGAGAAGGTGGCAGAAACCGCACAAGATGCCCCGTACACCAGCCCCTTGCAGAGCTACCCAGTGGTCTGCTGGTGCAGTTGGCTGCTGTGTTCTGGTTTTACCATCGCCAGCCCTTCCCGTGAAGCAGCAAACGGCTCAGCCCCCGCAGCTTATGTTGTGCTTTGCAAACTCATGCTCACAGGGTTGCCAGCGCCGAGCATTTAAAAACCCCGAGGCGGGGGCCTCTACCAAAGGATGATTGACTTAAAAAAATCAAGAGTGCTTTCCGCCCCTCCCCCTGCACATGTGGGGCTCTTTTTAGACTTGCTTTCCTGTTTGGGCATCACTAGGGGGTCATGTTCCAACACCCATCAAAGGTTGGAAACTGGCTCTGGTTTTGAGCGTCTCATGGGATCCCGTGACTCTGGGAGCTGGGGCTTAAAAGCATCACCGCTCGTGAGCCCTGTGATGGAAATCAGGAGCGTTGGTGAAACTGCGCTGGCCCAGCTTCCCGCACCGTGAGGGAAGAAGAGGTGGCCATGTCCTGGTGCAGAGAATCGTCCCTCCATGCCAGAGCCAGGAGAGGGCAGCTTGCTCTTTTCCCAAGCGCACTGGAAGCCCCCGGTCCTAGATCAAGTCTTTAATTCCAAACCTACATCAGCCACATCATAGATGAAACTGGGATTCTGTGTCTGCAAAACCCCAAGTCCCACTTCCGCTTAGGGGGTCTCTACACAACTGATGTAAGTTACACGGGTGAGGGGTGTGAACAACCCCCTCAAGTGACGTAACTTACATCACCTGAAAGCGGCGTCCACACTGCGGCAGAGACTCTCCTGCTGACATAGCTTCTGCCCCCTCTCTGAGATGGAGCAATCACACTGATGGGCGAGCACTCTCCAGTCGGTGTAATGCGCCTGTACCGAACTGCACAGACACAGCTGTGCTGATGCAGCCCAGTACCAAAGACACGCTGGCTGATGGCCCTGCAGACAGTGCCGTGTCACATGATGTGTTTGCAAACCCACAGTCCATTTTTCAGCTCCTGAAACTTGAGCAGAACTTTCCCGGGACTTCCTTTTAATGCTAGAACAACTCTTACCTCCACCCTGGGTTTAAAGACCGCAGGGGTTGGAGTATCTGCCACATCCCTCCCAACCGTTAATTCCTCTGGCTGCTAAAAAAAAAAAAAAAAAAAAGGGGGGGGAGGGAGGAACCCACCAGTGCATGAAAATCACTTTCCTTCCCCAAGACCCCACCCCTTCCTTGAAACCCCATCCTCTCTGTTCCCCTTCTCTCCATCACTTGCTATCCCCAGCCCTTATACACTCTTACTGGGTTGAGACAGGAGGTGCGGGCTCTGGGGTGGGAATGAGGGATTTGGCTGTGGGAAGGGGTGAGAAGTGCAAGCTCTGGGGGAGAATTTGGATGAAGGAGAAAGAGATGCTGGCTTGGGGGGGGGGGTCCCGGGGGGGGGGTGGGCCCCCCCAGCCACTGCCTGCCCCACCAAGACTAGGGGTTCCCCAGCTGGGGATGGGGCTCCCCAGCTACCTTGCTCCACTGAGGCTAGGTGTTCCCCAGCCAGGGTAGGGAGGGCTCCCCAACCCCTGCGTTGCTCCCACTTCGGGGCCCTGCCGGACCATGGATGTTGCTGGACCAGACACTTTTACAGATTTACCTCCCAAATCTGGGACTATCAGGCTGTTGGTTTTCAGAAGATTTGTAGTAATTTGAAACCTCCACAGTGAGTACCTAGGACAGTATGGCTGGAGAGGCGGGAGGGACTGCTGAGTTGAAACAGCTCTGCTCGACCTGCCGAAATCCTCTTGCTGACAGCCCCGTAGCAGTACGTGTTGTCGTACTGGAAGAGCAGTTCGTGTACTCCGTGCACCGGTGCAGTAGAAGAGTTCCTGCTCCTTCCATCTCTCTCTCTGGCTGCGTGCTTCAGGCCCACAAGTACATGCACAAAACAGTCTGGAACTGGAAATGTGTAAGAACTGGTTGGACAAACCCATTAGGGATGCTCGAGGTTTTACACAGTCCTGCCTAGCAGGAGCCTGGACCAGATGACCGAGCGAGGTCTCTTCCAGTCGCCCACATCTATAATTCTATCATGGCTGCAGGAAGCTGCGCTGGCAGGAGGAAGCAATGATCGGATCCAGTGAGCTGAGCTTGGCTTGTGGGTTCTGCTTGGTTCCTCTTTCTGGCGGGGTGTGGGGCAGCTGTGTGTATTTCTGCACTTCACATGAAACCAGGCGGAGAGTGGAAGGGGAGGGGTGTGGAGAGAAGGTGGCAGAAACCGCACAAGATGCCCCGTACACCAGCCCCTTGCAGAGCTACCCAGTGGTCTGCTGGTGCAGTTGGCTGCTGTGTTCTGGTTTTACCATCGCCAGCCCTTCCCGTGAAGCAGCAAACGGCTCAGCCCCCGCAGCTTATGTTGTGCTTTGCAAACTCATGCTCACAGGGTTGCCAGCGCCGAGCATTTAAAAACCCTGAGGCGGGGGCCTCTACCAAAGGATGATTGACTTAAAAAAATCAAGAGTGCTTTCCGCCCCTCCCCCTGCACATGTGGGGCTCTTTTTAGACTTGCTTTCCTGTTTGGGCATCACTAGGGGGTCATGTTCCAACACCCATCAAAGGTTGGAAATTGGCTCTGGTTTTGAGCGTCTCATGGGATCCCGTGACTCTGGGAGCTGGGGCTTAAAAGCATCACCGCTCGTGAGCCCTGTGATGGAAATCAGGAGCGTTGGTGAAACTGCGCTGGCCCAGCTTCCCGCACCGTGAGGGAAGAAGAGGTGGCCATGTCCTGGTGCAGAGAATCGTCCCTCCATGCCAGAGCCAGGAGAGGGCAGCTTGCTCTTTTCCCAAGCGCACTGGAAGCCCCCGGTCCTAGATCAAGTCTTTAATTCCAAAC